TTATTTTCTGGCAGAAAAGTGAATAAGTTCACCTATTCTCTTCTGTGAACTTTGGTCACCAATCAGAACTTGTTCAATGAACGACTATATATATATCGCCTTTGCAGATAGTTGAGAAGGATTCTAGAGCACTCTTTATTGCTTCATTTCAAGAGATTAGATACTAATTTTTCTAAATTATGTTTTGAACAGAAAAAGTAGAGCAATCGTCAGTGTTTTTTTTAATTTCGTTAGAATTTTGATAAAACTCATAGAGTTCGATTATGAATATTGTTGCATAAAATGTACAATGTTTTATTTTTAAAGGTTCACATAAAGGTACATCTTTTCGTCCACTTAAATGGACAGTACCAGAACGTAATCAAACCGTATATTTAATATGTGCATGTAAATATACAAAATGTCCACCTATATGTGATGCAACTCATATTGGTTTAACAAATACAATTCAAAAGCAAATTGAAAATTGTCCATTAAGACAAGAACATTGTAATATTGGTGATAAAAAGCTCTGTCAACAATGTGGTTTTGTACCAGATTGGTAATAGAAATATATTGTTTTTTTTTTTCGTTATTCATTTTTAAAATTATCAATAAAATAAGAAGAATACAGTTTCTAATACCGGTGTAGAACTATTATTTTAAATAATTTTATTTATTATTTTTTTCCATCGTTGTATGTATGTGTATTTTCTTTTTCTCTCATTTTTGGACAGTACACTCATATATACGTCAAAAAATTTAGTGTTAAGAAATGCGCTAAAAAAACCTGTACGCATAGAGAGAGAGAAAAAAAAATGCATAATTGATATATGCACATATACAGTGTAGTAAACATTAGAAAAACAAAACAAATATTAAAAACAACAGGGAAAATTCCAAAACACACATTATGTAAGTACATATGTGTATAGATTGTGCATTATTTTAGAAAATTACAATCATTTTCTTGCATGTGAACTTTAAAGAATATGGGCACAAACAAACAAACAAATAAAAAGAAGAAAAACCAAAAGAATATATCACAATAGTACTCGATATTTTTTTTTTGCTTTGCTAAGTAGCCATTGTTCTGTTCTGCTTTGAGTATCACAAAGGTACGCATAAAATAAAAACGAATGATGAAGAAGAAACAAAAACAAAATATCACACTGTTGCTAGATAAAAAGAAAACAACAAGAAAGAGATTCGGGAATAGCAAATAGAAAGAATGAAAAGAAACAAAACAAAACAAAAAACAAAAAAGTGGACGGATATTGTAATAGTAATAAGAAAACATATTTATATATATAATTGTGCAAATAGAAATAATCTATTCATTAAAATCACTCATATCATCAAGACTATCATTGTCATCATGATCATCTTGATCAGATACATTATTATTATTATTATTATTATTACCATTTGTTGATAATGGTGTTTCACATTGAATTTTTTGTAATGCAAGTTCTATACGACGTTTTTCAATAGCAATACGTTTATTTTCACATTCATTTGTTGCTAATTTAATATCAATATTTTTCTTTTCAATTAATAATACTTGTTTATCATTATGAAGTTTTTGACTTGTTAATTCAAGTGTACGTTTACGTTTGATTAATGATTCATAACGAAGTGAATTTTGTTGTTGTCCATAAGATTTATTTATATTATTAAGAGATTGTGAATTAACTGATGTTCTTAATAATTTACGTCGTTTATCTAATGTACGTTTTGATACTTGTCCATTACTTGATATTGCTATTGTTGATGAATTTATTTGTTGAGATGAAATATTTGATGTTGTTGGAAAATTTGTTATTGGACTTCTTGAATTGTCATCATTACCAAGTAGACTAGCACTTTCATCACCTGGAGAATCTATTTGACCACCAACACCATTCGGAAGATCTGATGATGGAGAATCAACTTTATCTGATGACTAAAAAACAAAAAAAAAACAAGAAATTTTATTTAATTGATTTTTTTTTGTTTCTCTTTTGAAATCTTAACCTGTTCATTAAATGATATATCATGATTAGTATTATTTATATTTGATTGTTGTTGTTGTTGTAAAATTTGTTGATGTTGTAAAACACCATGAGGAAAATGAGATGATATTGATGATGGACGACATATAGATAATATACGATTATATAAATTTAATTGTTTATTTGACATTGATGCTGTTGAACCAGATGCTTGTGCTGCACGATTAGCAGCAACTTCACGTTTAGCTTCACTTTGTAATTTTTTCCATTTACGTCTAACATCATCAACAGTTCGTTCAACTTGTGGATATGTTGCATTGAGATTATCTGTTATTTGTTTCCATATAGCTTGTTTTTGTGCAATAACACTTTTTGATGCTTCACGAGAATGTAATAATTCTTTATATGTATCATATTGATCGATTATATTTAAAACTTCATGTTCAGTAAAATTTGGTTTACGACGACGACCAACATGAAATGAATCAATTGAAGAATAATCTGTTGGTTGATCGTTCATAATTCTCTTTCTCTCTCTCTCTTTCTCAATATATATATGTATATGTTGATTTTACTAGATGAAAATAAAGTCAGAATAAAAAAAAAAAAACAATACTACTAATAGTGAAAGAAAATGGTTCGATCTAAAACAGAATAAAGAATGAAAGAAAGATGTTGTTGTCTTAAATGACGAGTCACTAAAAATAAATATAAGTGATGAAGAAGTTATAGTAGGAGAGTCTAAACTAAATGTGACACACTGATGCATAGGGTAGGTATATGCGATGTGTGTTGTTGCCAAGCACCAATGTTCTCTCCCTTCATGCTTTTTCTGTCTTCACATTGTGCAAGTGACTGAAAGCGAGAGTATGAATGAGAGTGAGAGCTATACTTTTTGGAGTGTCCCACCGCCATCATGTAGTCATAGTTTTATTCATATTATTATTTCTCTTCTTCCTTTCTTCTTTTTCTTCTTCTTTTTTTTATTCTTTAACGTCTCTGTTTTATGCTTGCTTCTGCTTAATCCAGATATATATATATATATATGCAAAATGCATTTTCGTCTTCCTTCGTGTGCACTGTCGCCGACACCGTCTTTTTTTTTCAAAAAAATAAAAAGAACTGAGAAAGTAAGAGAAAATTCTGTCATAAGTAATGTTTAGTACCACCATCACTCTTACCTTCCGTACAACAATAACAAATGAGTAAAAATAAAAAAAAAAAGAAAACATAAGACGACGATGAGAAAGATGTTGTTGGTAATGAGGAAAAAAATAGTTATCTATACGATTAGAACAGGAAGCGATCAGTTGCAGGCAACAGAATAGAGTCATCCTATATAGAAGAAGATCATTGTAGAAAGCCATATAGAATAAGCATCAACGACACTTCTTCCTTCTTTTACTACGTCTCACTCTCTTTTTCTTTATACTTCACCTTGCTTGCGATAAACACAAGAGTCTAGAATTTCTCGGTGCTTTACTGCCGTCGAGAGGCAACGAACGAGCGTCTTTTTATTTATTTTAATCAGTCAGACCTTCGTTCTATAGAAGCAGAATGGATGGGGAATGTGTTTTTTGACACATACATTGCTGATTTCTTTTCTTTTACCGTTGTGTCGCTTGTACCCTAGCAAGGCAAAAGATTGTTTGCAGCAACACTCGGGTGTCTATGTCTTCTATTCTTTTTTTTTGCTTAGGTGTACATTACGATCACTTTACTCTTTTTTCTCAATTCCACTCACCATCAGTTCTGCATATGTGAGTGTGGTGTTTGTTGACAATGGGCAAAATATGATGTAGTTGTGCTTGTCTACGGCATGACATTGATTCTTTGGGAAAGAATCGACTCTCTTTTTATGTATATATATATATATATGTGTGTGTATGTGTATTCGTCGTTTTTTTATTTTAACTTGCTTTTCGATTCGAGCCAATGTGTGTATAACACTGTGCTTGCTTATTCATGCGTAATGACTAGTCGTACTATGGCAAATTACATGACCAGTCAAACGATGGGACATATATATATCGACGCACTAACTTCTGTTTTTCTTTTTCTTTTCGTTGAGTCCCTATCGAAGTCATCATCATCATCATCATCCATTTTTTCTCTCTCTCTCTCTCTTATCCTCACCTCTCTTTTTTTTATGAGGGGGGTGAAAGAATCGTAAAGACGGCCGTGTTTGCCGTTGGACCACCTTGGTAACAAGCAAATGGGTCGGTTTATCTAAATAAGAATTATGATATACTATCGTCATCGTCGGTGACATAAGGAAAGAACGAACTACTCTAAGTACAAGTATAGAATGAGCAAAAAAAAAAAGCTCTTTCAATTTTCTTTTCTAATTTATGCAAGACGTATCGAATAAATGCAGAACAGAAACAAGTAGTTCTGATCGTTGAAGCGACAAAATATACGTCATATGTGTGTTATTCACTTGACTCTTATTAATTTGTGTTTTGACACAAAAGATACATACATCCGTATATGTGCATATTATAAAATCATGTAAAATAAATATAACTTTTACGATTGATTGAATGATAAATTTTAAAGAAACGTTTTCTTGTAATACTTTATTATATTGGAAAAACAACAACAACAACATAGGAGTTATTTATTTCGATAGTTACTAAAAATACGACACTTTTTTTTTCTGTATAATATAAATATTTTTCCAGTCAACCTACTTATATAAATATTTACGAGTTACAATAAATATTACTAAAAGGATACTTTGAAAAGATTTATTATGTTTAGAGTGAACTAGATTTGACATATTATTTGAAATCTTGTTGTTGTGCTTTTTTTTTTTTTGAAAATCCTACTTAATGTAGAAATTCTATGTAATTCATATTCTTTAAAAAGTATTTAGAGTCTTGTTTTTTGTTTTGTTATTACAAATATTTATTCTGCTTATGTCGATCTACCAATTCTGAAACAAACAGAAGATAAAATCTTCATAAAAACTTAATGTTTTTATTTAAAACTGCAAAAATTTTATTTATTATTTTTCAATGTTCATTAAGTATGATATTCCATAAGATGATTTGTTAAATTTGTTGTTGATTGAAGATTTTTTAAATAATTACATATTAAATTATAATTATTCGTATATTTATTTGCATTTAAATATTGAGCGATATCATACCATTGATGAAATCTAATAGAAAATAATAATGAAAGTAAAAAAAAACGTTTTTCTTCTTACTGTCCAGCATCAATTTGATTTAAACGATGATATTTAAGATATTTATTTCTTTGTTGTTGTTTATAATATGTATAAATATTAATGAATAAAATAAAAAATACCAGAAATATAAAAAGAGTTATTAAAAAAATAAAACCACGATATGAATTATGAATATGATGTATTAATTCAATTTCAATTAATACAAATGTTTCAAGATCACAAAAACTAAAAAAGAAAAATAACTTTTATCTTTTGTTCTATAATAATACCTATATTTATTATTATAAGTAATTATATGAAGAATAAATTTTAAATAATCATCTGATGCTTGATTTATACTTTCATTAATATGTATAGATGATGATCCATTAAAAAATAAACATGAATTAGTTGATATTGCAAAAGTATTTAATAATGTTCGATAGAATGTTCGTCGTTCATATGGAATCTAAACAATACATAACATAGATTATCAAAAAAAAAATTGTCCTACGGGTAGTTTTTAGATTAGAAAGATTAATATAAAATTTTTGAAATATTAATTAATTCTAATATGTATTCATAAAGATTCAATCATAAGCTGTAAGGTTGATATAAACGAAGAAGAGATAATCTTGTCTTATTCAACTGTAATAAGATATATTTTTTGTGCTCACTACGTAAATATTTCTATGATTAAGATTAGTTATAATCAAAAATAAAATCAATACTTAAAAAATTATATTTCTACATATCTCATTTCGTTCATCAATTAAAACTAAGAACAATAAAAGAAAACATTTTGATCCATTTTTTTTTTTACATTTCTAAGCATTGTAAAAAACATTTTGATGAGTATCACTGCTTTTTTTTTGTGTGACACATTACTCTATACAGGTTCCGTTTTAAAGAATAAAAATGTTTAGGTAACTTCCCGTTTCCATGAATGAGAAATACAATATGGGCATCGGAAAATGGTAACATTAACCCTGATAGCTATACTAGTGAGTAGATTACACTTTAATAGGTAGGACTGAAGTAAAAAAATCAAATGCAAACGCTCCAACAAAATAAAGTCTACAGGTCATGACATAATTTTCAATCGACTTTTTTTTTTTTAGTTTTCTTTTATCAATTAAACTACTATACATTCTATTGAAAGACAGTTAATCAATACATGTTTGAACTAGTGGCGTAACCAGAGGGTAGCCAGGTGGGGCTAAGCCCCACCACCAAAGCGTTGAGCCCCTCCACCGTTAAAATCCTGGTTTCACTACTAGTTTGGACATTGACATTTTGAAGTTTGACTTCAGTCTAAACTGTTTCAATATTTAACCTAACATCCTTATACCTAGAAGAATTCGTGTTCATGTTTTCAAAAACATATATTCAAGAGTAACAAATTATCCTGCCTTTATATTCTTTGCAAAAAAAAAAGTACTTTGACATGCATTCAGTTTCTTTTTCTTTTGAGAACCAAAACTTAAGGAAAGAAAATGCCGGCAGCTCTAATTTCTCAAAAGCCTAGACTTCAACCCTAGAATCATTAATTTTCTGAATAGAATAATATTTTGATGCAAAATCAAATTGATAGCTGTAATTAATTCATTTAGCTATATGAGGCTTTTGCATACGAGTTGAATGTGATTATATTAAAAATAAATTCTGATCTTGTGACAAAAATATTTTTGCTAGAAATACTCAAAAAATCACAAGTAAAAACTTAGGTAAACATCAGTGGTTGACATAAAAACAAGTTTAAAATAGTTTTTATCGTACTATATGAGAATTGCTTATTAAAAGTCATTCGAAAGTTTATATTTAAATTTCGGTTTTCTAGATGAAACAGATATATATCACGAAAGTGTAAGTTTATATTTCATTCACAAGAATATGAAACAATCAATAGAACATTTTTTGTTTTGTGATCTATCAAATATTAACGAATGGCACTGATTCAATCGAATCAAATTATTTTCATTTGTCTTACACAATCGTCTAGCTGCAATTTTCGAATTTCTGTAGATGCTTGTCGATTTGTCTAAGTCTTTACTTATGAAGGCTCAATCCAAAAATAACTTAATTAGTATCAACGGATAGAGGCTTCTGTAGTATCTGCGCTTCCATGAGGTCTTGAGTGTGGGTCAGAAGCTTTTGTATATCTTCACTGACGTCTATCAGAATACTTTAAGATTAATTTGTTTTACAATGAATTGTCCTGGTATCCTACCAGAGATGTCCATCGCGGCTGAAACTCTGCCGCTGCCGCGCCGCGATGGTTTATAAAAAAAAGTCACCGCGCCGCGATGAGTAATAAACTTGCCGCTACCGCGATGGTTTTCAAAAAAGTGTTTCGATTTTCACTGCTGCAACTGTATTGGACCAGAAATATTGGTACTAGTCCATCAGATTCACTCAGTCTCGGGGTGTTTCATTTGTAAACAATGAAATTCTATTAAATTCATGCAGTTTTTCAATGTCCTCGAAAAAAAATGCTGCCGCGCCGCTGCCGCGATGAGCTTTTAAAAACTCTGCCGCTGCCGCGCCGCCACCGCCATGGACATCTCTGTATCCTACTTGAAAAAATTGATTTTTAGCTGTTGTATTCAATGTCCATTTAAGCCATAAACGATAAATTGATTGACTGATAGGTATACAAGAATCTGATCGATTAATTAAATAATGAGCATAGATTTCATGTTCTTTATTTAAAGGTATTGCATAAATAATTAAAGAATTAAGTTGATCATCATTAATTGATTGACACGTTTGATTAAAACAACTAGAAGAAAAAGGTTTTAGATGATTGAATGAAAAACAAAAAAAAATATTCTTTTTCTACTATTGATATTTAAGTAAAATTGGATCATTTTGTTTACGTTTAATATAGACAGAAGAGAATTGATGAATAGAATTTGTTAGTAAATTTTTTCGAATCCTAACAAAAAAAAAAGAATTTTTTCGATCGTATCAAAACAAAAGAAAAAATTAAAAATTCAACCATTCAATATCAATTATTGGATTAGATTCATTCCAAATTTCAAATTCAATATTTCTTTCAATTTAAAAATAAAAAAACAAACAATATCATTTTTCGAAAAACAATTTATTCATATTTTTTTTTCCTACTGTTCAATACGTAATATACTTGCTGAAGAACATGAAGCTTCAATTTGAAATGACTAGAAATAGTTTAATCAATATTAAATGAATATCAATTTTTTTTTTTTACAAAAAATGATGGTTGACTACATGAATAACTATATTGTAATAGATCCAGACGAATTGTCATCAAACTTGAATCATAAAGATCATTGCTATAAGAAAAAAAAAATTTGAAAAACATGTATATTTTATATATTAACAAAAAATAATATATCTTAAAATTTTATTCTTTATCATAGTTTTACCTTGTTTGATTTATTGTTGAAACTAGAATATCCTATTCAATATCATATATATATATTCATCTTTTTTTTTGAAATTTTCAAACTCACTCCTATAATTTGAACAATGCCTGTATTCAAACGATTAATTGTATAATTAATCGAATAATTTAAAAGAATTGATTTTGTACTAACAATCATTATTGGTATAATTGTATAAGCTTGAAGAATAAATTTAAAATATTTTTGACTATTTTTTTCTAAGATATATATTTTATTAATATCAAATAATGGTTTAAAAAATATATATGAACATGAAGATTGAACAAACATTGAACAAGATAGTAATTGTTTATTAATATTTAATAAACATTGACTTATATTTAAATCAATTGGAGGTATAATGAAATTTTGTATATTTTGAAAAATTAAATTACATTCTTTATATTGTTGAAGATTTATCATAGATGGAAGAAATGATTCTTTTCCATATAACCATTCATCTTAAAAGAAATTTATAAAAATTTCTTTCGACTTTTTAAGAATTGCTGTTTCGTATCAAGATCGAAAGGGAAAAATATTTAACATTTTCACTAACAAAACGGATGTAGGTGCTAAAATCTTTTGTTTATCTATATTCACACCTATTTTGGATCCGTCACTTTTTTTTTCTAGTTTTGACATCGATATTTTTTGTGTGAAACTCGATCTAAAAGAATATTTCAACATTTAGCCGTTAAGACTATGACTTAAATATCCATGAAAAAACCTCTAGACACACTTTGAAAAAAGTGTCAGTTAAAAAATTGGTAGTAAAATTTTTCAGCTGTATGAGAAATAACTGAATACGAATTCATCAATTATCTGTGATCCTTCTAATTTTTGTACCATGTAAAAATAATATGAACGTCGATGGCAAAGTTTTTGAGTGTTAGTATGAATCGTGTTGCACTCATATCTATATCCACACTGAAAAATTTAGTTTTGAAAAAAAAAATATTCTAGTTCATTTGTTGCTTCTTTGTAATGATTTGCAATTTACCAATAGCATCTTCCATTTTTTCTTTATTTGTATTGAATTAGTTATTTATTCATCCGAGATGAAGCTTTCATTTTCTTTTGTTATAAGTTTCTTCGCTTTTTCAAAACTTTGAATCTTCTCCTTCCTGAATAGACCGTGTTGATACACTGTCTATCATATAAAATCTCATTCTACTATATGAACTATTGTCTTATTGCAGTACCCGAGAACTAAGTAAAAAAAAAAAAAGATGATGAAGAAATGTTTTTCAAAAATAAATGGAATAAAACAATTTTCATGTGATTAGCAAACAGTAACTAAATCGTATTTTACATTCAAATCTCACAGGAATTGCGCTAACAGCTTTTTTTGTTCCTTTTTTCTATTCTACATTTATTCATTAGGCATTTTTCCCCTTCGGCCTTTCGAATAACATATTTTTAAGAAATAATCTTACTATTTTTAGTTACAATAAAAAATTCATTATTCAAAACAAAAATATAATCAATTGTTATATTTAAACAATAGATTTCTTTAGTTATTAATGTTATATTATCATAATTAATATTAAGATTTGTATAATAATTTTTCAATTGATCTTCATTCATATAATTTAAATAATTATATTGACAACCATTTATTGTTACATCAGATAAAATAAGACCTTCATTTATTGTATAATAAAGTTTTTTTTCATCCCAAATAAAAAAACTATTATGAAATGTTGTTGGTGTAATATATAAATTATTACCAGTAAAATTAATATATATAGATTTTTGAAAAATTGAATTTAATTCTAAGAATGTTTGATGATAAATAATTGCCTAAAAGAAAGATATTTTTTTTGTTTTTTGGTTCGTTGAATAAATATATATGAAATTATGATTTTCTACTTTTTCATTTTGATATTTTATAATACATATAAGTAATGGTATAGAATGTGAAAGTTTAAGATATAAAATTGTACATTGATTTAATTGACAAATCTAAAATAAAAAAAATTTTTTTAAAGAAAAAAAAAAAATATTTATTCTATTCAAAAATTTACAGTTTGAGATTGAAAAATATTTTCAAAATTATAAACGACAGTCATTGTTTTAAAATAAAATAATATTACATTTCCAAATTTATTAGCTAGAATAATATAATCATTAAATATATTACTTATAGTAGAAGTTTTAAAACATGTACAACAAGGTGTTGTAAATACATAATCAATTTTATCAAATAATATTGGTATATCTAAATAATTGAATAAAAAAAAAAAAATAAGTATTTGAATTTTTTTTTTTATACTAGAATAACGTAATAATGTATAAATTATATCATTATTATTTGATGAACTTATTATATTTTTTGTACGAAATAAAATTCCATTGATAATTAAAATTAAATCATTATTTAAATGAGCTATTGAATTTACTATTGGAATCTAAAAACAAAAATTCCTTTTTTTTTTTTTGGAATATATTAAAAATCTTCTTTGTAGAATAGAAATACTTGTGTATTAAATATTTTTTGAGATATACATAATCGTTTCCATTGATATTGTTCGTGATCATATTTATAAAAAGTATGATTACGAATAAAAATTGATTTATTTGTATTACATGAATTTATTATAATAAATGTTTTTAATATAAAATAATGAAGTGGTATATATTCTTCAGATATATTATTTTTTGAATTAATTAATAATTTATTATTACAAAATTCATTTAATGTGAAAAAAAGATTAAAATTATTGTTTATAAGATATAGAATAATAATAAATAATGATAATGTCATTCTTAGTGATAATTAATTATATCAGCGCCAATAAATAGATCTTCATACAATGTTTACTAAGAATTATTCGACTTAGATATAACTTCAATTATTTAGTTTTTTTTTTTTTTTCTTGAAGATTATTAGTAGAATATATTATGATAGTACATTACAAATATATAATAGTTAAGTACATGTCATTCTTTGTTCACATATAAACTAATTTTCGCTAATGTTCAGAACTAATGAAACATCCTTTATATGTCAATAGATTCGATATTTTTTTTTTTATTTCATTATAGAAATAAATCAAAAGAGAATTGATACTTTTCTTTTTTTTTAGGTGCATCCTATGTACTTAAAAAATATACTATTATTGCAGAGTATCTCGACAGGAATAAGCTAAGGGCATATAAAGTCTTTTCAAGCAACCTATAGGATATATTCAGTCTTAACTTACACGTGAACAATCAGCTGAAAGTCTTTTTTTCATAAACGACTTTTCAAAGTTACATCTTTTTATTATTAATCGAGATTATTTACATAGGCTTTAGTGATTAATTAAATCTCATTACAAGATTATATAATTTATCATTATTTTAAAACTCATTTTATTGTTTGTGAATAAAGTTCATATTCAATTGAAGTTAGTAATTCCATATATTTTAATATTAATATATGATTTTTTTTCGTTTTTATTCTGTAGGCGATGAACAACGCCATCTCTATGTAATGCGGAAGTCTTTTTCTTTTCTTTTGTTCATTTGAGGAATGGCAAACTTGAATGAACATGGCTACAGGATATTAGTTAGTTAGTTGCATTATAAAAAAACATCTAAGTCATAATTATCTGATTTGTGTCATTTTTTTTTTCTGCTAATAATGTAATTTAAATCTATTTCCTTATTTATAGATATGATCTACAGGTGCATTGATCATTATATATTATCGTTATTATTACTTTTTTCATCAAGTGAATGTATATCTACTTACAATTTATTTCATCTAATACTTTGTCGTTGTTGTTGTTGCTTATCTTCTTTTTGAGTATCTATATAAAAAAAGCAACATCATCGACATTGTTCAATGATTATAATCATAATCATGTAAGACAAGCTGAAATATGTAAGATAATTTCTGAAGTAAATAAATACATAATTGTTTATTCTTTTTTGAAAATTTCAATAGATACAATGACTTCGACAGCAATTGATGGTATAAAACGTTCGAACGTATGCGGTGATGGTTATCGTATTGAAGGCGTTGTTCTTAAATCATATCCATTCTCAAAAATGGAATCATATTTGCCTTATGAAAATTGTTTTATGACATTTCAAGTTTGATTAAATTAATAATAAAAGAATATTAAAAATATGAATTCTAGGCTCGACAACCAAGTAATCAAATACGTATACATATAGTTAGACTTGATCTAAATGATATACGTAGTGGTACTGATTGTTTGGATTCACTACGTTTTTATAAATCAGCTTATATAAGACGAGAAGATAAAATTGTACGTTAAAGAAAAAAAAAATCAAATATTTCTTTTTCTTATCAAACATTAATTTGTTTTGTTCTATTAGGATTCTATTGAATGTGGACAAATTTTTGAAGCAGAAAATTTCAATATTATTTCGCCTACAGGCATTGTTACTGTTCATTTTAGGTTCGTAGAAAACAAAAAAATGTTAATTGAGTTTTGTTTTTGCTTTATAACTAAGAATTTTATTAGTACTGATGGTGGAAATGTCTATGGTCTTGGATTTAAAGTAATTCTTACTGCTTTTCGTTCTCGTAAGTGTGATATAAATATCAATGCGAAAAAAAAAAAAATTTTTTTTTTTAATTTTCATATAGCAAATAAAACACATCCATGTGATCGAAATGATGATGAATTTCTTTGTAATAATGGTGATTGTATAAGTAGTTTACTTTTATGTGATGGTAGAATATTTTTTTTACAATGTAATTTTTTTTTTTTGTTTTTCTAATATATATTTTCTTATAGGTATTACACATTGTTTAGATGGATCTGATGAAATACCAAATCATTCGTGTATATTAAATATAGAAGACTCAATAAATAATCTTAATATAAAAGCAAATCATCGTGCAATGATTGCTAAACATCAACATTGGCGTGGAATATTAATTATTGCTTTTTTACTTATTATATTTATTGTCTTTATACTTTTTGTGGCATATTTTATTTGTCGTCGTTGTGTTGATTCATCAATTCCGGTACCTACTACACGAAGAAGAAGAAGAATAAGAAGAAGTTTTAAAACTATTGTTCATTCTCGTATGTTATTAGAAATTTTCTTTTCATTTTTATTTAAAATAAAAATAATTTATATTTTTTTGTTTTGTTAAGCTTTTAATGGACCTAAAAATTCTACAACAACAACAACACAAGTAGTTATACAAGATGAAAAAAATCGAAAACGTCTTGATGATGATTATAATATACTTTGAATAATAGTTTCATTTATTTATTTTTGTTTTGTAATTCTACAATTGTATTACAATAGATTCACATAATTATTTATTTTTTTTTTGAATTTTGTAATAGTGATATTTCATAAGAATTCAATATAGATTTGTATGTATTACAAATAGAAATTTATGTTTATTTAAATAAATTACAATAACAAATCATGAAATCATAAAAAATAAAAAAATTAATCAATATGTTTTATAGATTTTCTATTCCTAAAAAAACAAAAAAAACGAATTTTTTTTTTCTAGAAAAATCATATATTAAGATTTTTGTATTACTTTATCAAAAAGTCTTCGACCAAGAAATTCAGCAACAACACCAAATTTATCTTGTTGTTTATCTAATTCACGATGAAATGTTTCATGAATATCTTTACCAACTCGTTGATTATTTATTAAATCAAGCCATTTACTAAATATAAATAATTTATTTAAGTATAAACTTCAATTTTGAGATTTTTATACATTTAAATAATCCTACATTGTCTACTTGTTTTTTATTTTTTGCCTAAAAATATTAGTTATTATTACTCTTTGAACTTTTCTTAACGTTCTCTATAATCAAGAATATAGATTAGCAAGCTTTAAACAAGTAGTTTCGTGTCCTATATATTTTTTTTTCCTATTAGTGTTCATTTAGTTATGTAATTATTTTGACAGTACTTTGTCAGAAAAAGAGACACTCCTCTGACATAATTATATGTTCGTTTCTCTTTCATCGGCGCACATTCTTTCATGTTTACAAACATTTCATTCTTCTACTCATCTTTTTTTTATCTATTCAAGCAACTGCTTTTATTGGTGCGGATGAGTGACATTAATACCCATCACCCACACTTTATGTTGTTTTATCTTTTCTAAATTTAGATTTTTCGATGTTTTACATGCACGCGCAAGTCTTCATTTGATCCGCTATAATCGATAATATATGAGAGATTATAATCGATATGTTTCTACTAATGCTTTATTAATTAGACAATATTGATATTCAATTACAAAATCGGACGTTGTTTTTCTTTTTCTGAAAAATAATTTTTGTTTTCTATTTGTGTGTGATAGATTCTGTCAGTTATTTTACATGCTGCAGATCTATATCATTGGATGTTAGGAAGAAATTTAGGACATGTGAAGACCTTCGTTTTTTGACTCTTGAAGAATTGAATATTTTAGGCTGAAATTTTCAGCCACATCTATTATTCTAGGACATAAATAGATTTTTGACAAGAGGAAGAGCTTACGAAGCAAAAACTTGATTTATATTTGTCAAAAACTATTGAAGCAGAATAGTAAATTTATTATGAATTTCAATGGAGCATGTTCATGTTCGTTTTTTTTCCTTCTATCTTAAAAAGTTCATCTTCTACTAGCAAAATAAAAAAAAAAAAACAAGATTATTTCTACTTCAGTTGATTGTATTTTACTTAAAAAAAAACTGTTTTTGTAATTCAAATTATTCTATTCAATAATATTTACCGATTATCACCCGAACATAATGGACATTCATAAATAATTTCTGATGTTGTCGGTGATTCTATAGCATAAGCACAACTAAATAACGAGAAAAAAAAAGAAATTTAATAGAAATCGAGAAAAAAAAATTGTTTTTTAATAAAACAAACTGTTCATGAAAGGAATGTTCACAGAAAAAATGTATACATGGAAGATCTAAATCCATTTTACATGCACTACATTTTGGATCTTGACAAAGTATTGGACTTGAAAACAAAAAAACAAATTTAATGAAATTTTAATATGTAAAATTTAACAAACCCAGTTTCAAGAGCTTTTATCTTTTTAACAATATCTCCACTTTCTTGACGAAATCGACGAATTTCTGTTTGATCTTTTTCTATTTGAGTTTGTTCACAACGTAATTTTCGAATTAGATAATCCTAATATTAAATTAAAAGTTACAATATAAAACAAAAAAAAAGAATTACTTTAAGTAAATCAAGACTAGTTGATTCATTATTACTCAATGTTTGAATAATAAGTAATGGTGATAAAAGATCTTTCTCATCGATATCTATTTAGAAAAAAAAATATATATATAGAATTAACAATTATTTTAAGCTTTTTGTTTTTTTAACTAACATTTTAATATTTGTTGAATTTCTTTTCGACATCCATCAGCACTTTTTAATTTTGAAAAATAACTTAATGCTTGTATCCATAATTGTGGATCATCTTCACCATATTTACGACAAGTAGCAAGAATTTCATCATTATCTTTATTATCCATTTGATATTGTAAAATTTGTTGATATCTATTCAAATAAATATTCGTTTTTTTATTATATTATATTAATATTCATACAATTTTGCTTTATCATATAAACAAATAACACCAGCTTTAAAATTATATTTTTGACATGCGACCATTGCACGTGTTACATCAATATCAACCTGAAATATAAAAATCCATTTTAGGACTAGGTTTCTATCGGAAAAAATTTTGAATCAGAGTTTGCAAAAAAAAATTAGCATTTTCCTAAGTCCTACCAGAAAATGTTTCACGTCTTTAATGATATGTTGTTTTCAGGAATGTCATTGAAAGCTGCATCAAATTTCATTTAAAAAAATTCATCCGTTCAGAAGTTGTGCGGTTTTCAATTCCTAGTGAAATTTTTTCGAAACGTCTCGAATCTTAAAAACGCCATAACTTCTGAACGGATCAACTTTTTTAAATGAAATTTGAAATCTATCGATGAAATTTGATGTAGCTTTCGAGGGCATTCTTGAAAACGACATATTATTAACGATGTGAAACATTTTCTGGTAAGGCTTAGGAAAATGCTAATTTTTTTCCGATAGAAATTCATCATTTGAGTCCAATATAAATGTACATAAGTTTTCATTTGGGACCCATGCTCTCTAACAGAGATCCAGGATACTGGAAAATCCTGGTTACACCACTACGTCTGACCTATTTATAGGCCATTTTTAGCCTGCAAGAGAAACCTTATAACTTCCTTATGACAAGAGGTAGAGGGCTCGGAATAGTTTCAAATTAAAGCTAACTTCCATGCGCAATTTTCCAATGGGATAGAATTTTCAAATTGGTTTCCATTCAGTTTTTTATGATCGTTTCAGTACACATGGGATCGAAATAAGCCAAAACAAAAATGTCACTGCATGACATTAAATCTCGCTTTTCTTATTTCAAAAATCAAATATAAAAAAATCTGGACGTACAAAATTTTACTTTCGCTTAGACCTTTAAAACAAAAAAAATATATTGGTATGATCTTGAATCATGCGAGAGTTATTTCCATTTTTTGCTGATCAAAAACTATGTTTTTAAGAAAAATAATAAATAAGTTTAGAAATTGATTTTTTCATTCAAATCTAGAAATAATCGGATATTGATAATATTTATGGGAAATTTTTGAAAACACGCAATAGATAACATAAGTTAACCCCATGGTCTGTACTATGTCATATAAAAATGTCTATTCCATGCTGATAGAAGTAGCAAAATAGTATTCTCAAAAATAGCCAAAATCCGGGTAGTGAGCTGAAAATTCCCTACGGAGGTCTGTTTTAAAAAGCCTATATATATTCTGGAAGAGGAAATTTCGCTGCATCTTCTTATAATAAAAACTCAACTTCTATCACATTACAAAAAAATGGATTTTCGAAAGGGAAGGTTTCCTTAAGATTGTTACATAGGTTTTTTCCTTAAATTTTTGATTTTTGCATTTACGTGCGTCTCGAATTTTTCTACCGTTTTAAACGCTAGGTTTGGTGTCAAACCATTATAGACGTCTGCTAAGTTTTAGTACCATATGTTGGCTATATTTTAAAACCAGTTCGAACTTTCTAGCATTTGAAAATTTTGTAATTTGTGAGTGAACTTTGTTTATCAATTGAATTAAGTTTCAATTTACCTTTGAATCTTGAAGTAATGTTAAAATTTGATGACTAATACGATCAATTTCTTTTTTATCATTAGTTTTATTATATTTTTGTAAAAGTAATTCTAAAATTGTATCATAAACAGTTGTAGAAAGATGTTCTTTTGGATATTGCTACAAAAATTTAAAAAAAACAAAGAATCAATAAATTCGAATTAATGAAAAAATAAAATATTTACTTTAACAGCATATTCAAGATAATCAAGTAATTCATCAGGATTATTCATAAATAAATTAATTAATGATTCAGGTAATTGTTCTTGTTCAATTTGTTGTGGTGTTGGATTAAGTTGTTTTAATAATTTTGTTGTTAATTGTGATTGTTCATTAATAAGTGTTTTACCATAATTTCGAAATGCTTGTAAAGCATCATCAAATTTTAATGTTTGAATATATGTTAATGCTTTATCATAATCTTTTTTATTTTCAATTTGTATTTTAATATATTTATCATGACGACGATATTTAGCTGAAAGTGCTAATGCTTCATCAAAATAATCTTTAAAAAAAAAATATTCAAAGAATGTCTTTCGTCTTTTCCAATAGAAAAATACAAACTAGCTTGTCGACAAACATCAATTGCTATATCAACATCAAAACTTAAATCAACATCAGATGTTGATGGTGATGTTTCATTTAAACCAATAAATTTAGCAAGACGATTTATACGATCAGGATGTTTTGTATAGCAATTAAGTAATAATGTTGTATGATCAGTATTAGCTAATTTTTCACGATGTAATTCTTCTAAATATCGTGTTAAATGATCTATATGTTGAGAATCAAGAAACTAAAATAAAAAAAAAAATATTTTGTTTATAGATATTTAAAAACAAAAACAAAAAGGTATTTACTTTTTTAATAACATAAGATGGTTCTAAAAAGCCAATTGTTTTACAATATTGATCCGTCGCTGTTTCATATTCATTTCGTCTATAAAGCAAAAAAAAATTCGAAAATATCAACCGCTATGCAATTTCAAAAAACAAAAGAGGAATTTTAGCGGAGCCAAGAGTTTCAATATCAGATCATTTCTTAATTAACATAATCGCATGGAAT